TCTTTCATACTGGAAACCCTCTGAAGAATCACGTAGAACAGGGGCTCTCAAAGTATGGTTTTTGCACCAGCAGTCTCAGCAGCACCCAGGAACTTATTAGAAAAGCATAATCTTGGATCCTAACCTAGACCTGCTGAATCAGAATCTCTTGGAGTGGGGTTCAGCAATGTGTTGTAATCAGCCCTTCAAGTGATTCTGATACCCTCTAATGTTTGAGAAGCACAGGTATAGAACACACCTTTAGATCAGAATTGATCCACTGGATTGGAGGATGGGGAGGCAGAGCATTTATACCCTGACTCCTGTCCCTCACTGGTGGACAGTTATTTCACACATTTCTGGGTTGCATCAGTGAGGATGAGAAAAGGTTTGTGTCTTTGGAGAAGACCTGAGACAGTGAAGAGGATCCTGTCCTTAGTACAGTATTCTTGCCAAGTGTTTGGAGCCATCCATCCCAGGGGTGCTGAATCCAGATGGACAAAGAATGTGGCACATTACCACACACTGGACTAGGGCGTGACAGTGGAGGTGAAGAGAATCTGAGGATATGTGTTTGTGATACATTATTAACAACCATCAGTACCTGATACAAAGAGATGAAAGAAGGGAATGTGAAAGATAATTCTTGATTTGCCTTCTTGGGGACCTCGATGGATGGTGGTGACAGGAGCAGTTACCATTTTGGAAACTTGGGTTTGAGGTACCTCTGAAATATCTAATAACTGCTGGGATATGGTGGTCTATACATAAAGGGAAGATAAAGGCAATCGTCATATTGAGAGTGGGTGAAATAGTTCAGGAGGTGTATTGAGTATGGTGTGAAGAGGTTTGGGGATGATCCCCTGAGAAGCAGAGTGGATAACAGTGGGGGATCCTCTCTGGAATTAACAAGCAAAATAAGAATTGTCTTGAGGGGAATGCTGGGTGGACCCAAAAGAGATGACTTAGAGTATCTGAAACACACTGAGTACTCAGTAAATATTCACTTTTTTTTTTTTTTGTGACCGGTAAGGGGATCGCAACCCTTGGCTTGGTGTTGCCCGCACCACGCTCAGCCAGTGAGTGCACCGGCCATCCCTATATAGGATCTGAACCCGCGGCGGGAGCACTACTGCGCTCCCAAGCACTGCACCCTCCCCAGTGCGCCATGGGGTCGGCCCAATATTCACTTTTATTACTAAGTAACTCCTTGGAGAACTCCTGCTTTTCCCAGAAAAAATTCTTTGACTGTTACTTCATATAAAAAAGTTCTGGGTCAGACAATAGTTCTTTAACAAAGATCTTCACTTCTAATAAACTGCTCCTTGCTTCTAGAAAAAAAAATGGAAACTCCATTGTCCTTAGAGATATTGGTCATTCCTAGTACTTAGAGCACATGAGAATGGATGCCATTAATTGCATATTAAACATAGGGTCCTCATTCAAACACTTTTTCTTCTCTGGAATTTCAGTCTTACCTGGTGCAGCTCCTGTTTCAAAGTGATGGAAACTCTCTAGGGACTGTGTGACTTTTATCTCCACATTAGGCTCTGGGTGGGCAAAGAAAATCTATTTAGAAATGTAATATGTAATTAGGGGAAGGGGAGGTGAGGGGTGTAGGAGGTAAGTGATTTTCAGGGAAAATGAGTTAGTGCAGAGAGCAATGGCCTGGGACAAAGAACGTGTGAGCTGAGGTGGAGGTGGTAGGACGGTAAGGGGCAGAAGATCACTATGAGCAAAGGTGGTCTTATTACACAGACAAAGTCCCCCAGGTAATCTCTTGAAGCTGCCCTCAGAAGAATAGATGAAAAGTCAGTCTCTTCTCTGTGGTGGCTAAGACTTCCTGGTTGTTTGATGAGATTCCTCAGGCAGGGATCTTAGGACAATTGTATTTTAACAACCTCAACTTTTTTTTTTTTTTTGAAGCTCTTACAACGAGAAAATGGAGGGGACACATCTGGGTGGGAGGGGGGAGAGGGAGGAGGGAGGGAGGTTTTGGTGATGGGACACAATAACTAACTACATTGTATATTGACAAAAAAAAAAAAAAAGAAATGTAATACAACTTTTGCCAGGAATCTACCTTTCTACACTTCCCAGGCAAAACTCAACCCAAGTACATACTTATGGGTGTATAATCTTAGGCACCTGGTCTCTGGTCTGCTCAGTGTGAGCACCTGTGTGATTCCAAGCTCAGAATTCTTATTATAATTCAAAAGTTACCTATATATTTATTGATACATAAGAAACCACTTAGGTACTGAATATTTAAATTCATGAGTCTTCTATCAACTTTTAAAGGACAGGTATATAATCTAGAGCTCTTTCTTTTATGGCAATTGTCAGAATTCAGTTTGTTCATGCACTTAGTAATATATAGCATTTTCTCAAGGTGGACTCAAGTTTCATGATATACGAACTTAGGATCAAATAACTGAGCTATTAATTATTCTCTTTGCCATAGGAAAAATGAGAAGCCTACTTATTTCTGAAGCTTCTTTTCTTAGGTTTTCATGTGACTGTGGATTAGTGTGGGTTTCTGAAGAGAGAGTTTCAGTCTGAGAGCAAAGGAGTGTGCGTGGGGAGCCCACTAGCTGCTCCCACAAGTATCTAGAGCAGTTTTCAGTAATGAGAGAATAGAATTATTCTTCTAACTCAGGGGCCATTTCCATCTGCAATAACCTTATGCACACTTCCAATATGTCAATGATTATTTCCCGTGTAAGTCTCTTTGGTCAGTTTTTAAGTAACAACTCTTTGGATTAGAATCAAATTGAGGAGAGGCGTCATGGATCAGTTATGATTGCACATTCTTCCAGAGGAAATGCAAGAGATTAGTTACGTATCCATTTAATAAGGGATTTCTTTCTCTTAGCAAAATTTGAGCCAAAAAGAGCACAGAATGTAGATGACTGCAGATTTGTCTTCCACCCTGGGAAGAATCACTCTGGCATGACTTCTTAAACTTGGTAATCTGCCCTTGAGATTGATTCTTCATTTTTACTGGGAAACTTTGCCCTACATGATTTGTAGCATTTTCCTAGAAATAATTTCCTCACCATGAGACATCATCCTATATATTCTTTTTTAAAATATATTCACATTTTATTTAACGTATTCATCTCAGAATATCATTTTCATGAAGTAAATAGCTTACTGGTTAAGCAATATCTCAGAGACCTATTGGCTGTGTAAATTATTGATTTCATCTATAAATTGGAAAAATTGTTCATTAAGGACAGGTCAAAGCTGGACATAATCTGCATATACTAAATTAAACAACACTCCTCTACTACTTTCTATCTTCTAAGCAATATCTCAGAGACCTATTGGCTGTGTAAATTATTGATTTCATCTATAAATTGGAAAATTTGTTCATTAAGGACAGGTCAAAGCTGGACATAATCTGCATATACTAAATTAAACAACACTCCTCTACTACTTTCTATCTTCTGGCCACCGTTCTGAGAACTTTTAAAATCTTAATTCATTTGAGCCTTATAACAGTCCTATAAAATGGGTACTTTAATTATCCCCAAATGCATATTAAGAAATTGAGGCCAAGAGACATTTGATACCTCGAACAAGATTATCCAACAGGGCGTAGCTGAGCTGGAGGTCAAACCGGGGTGTTTAGCACTTGATTCTGTTCTCCTAACCTTCACTCTGTTGCCTCTCCATGTGTAACACTTTCTACAAAAAGCTGGGCTAGAACATTAAAAGCAATTTCTTCTCCAGAAACATAGCAGTGAGTTACATTTCCAGCTGCTCCTTGTGTCTTGATACTGGTTCTTCCTCCTCGGTTATCTTTTGGCCAAAGTGATCTTCACACAAATCATTTTAACATTCTTCTAAGCCCCTTAATAACTTAGACCATAACCTTCTCCTCAGTCCATCACATGTGGTAGCTGGGATTCCTACCTATTATAACACATAGGCCCACTATTCTGTCTCAAAATGGAGAATTGTGGATATCACAAGGCAAACAAGATTAGCCTTGCTTGGAATTGTCAAAAGGAGAGGAAGATCCGCTAAGCATCTCATGCACGGTGGATGTAACCCTTCTCCTTTCACATAATCTGTGACCGCCTCATAGAAGGTCCACTCCACAAGGAACCATTGATCTACTGGGAAAGATTCAGGGATTATAACACTTTCAGATGCTGCCTTTTCTAGAAGAATTTTTATCTTCTCTTTAAGAGAAAACTCGAACACTCTTAAAAATCACAGTAGCTTACCTAAAAATATTGGCTTTCTTTTTCTTTTTCTTTTTAAGTTGGTATATTTTAAGCAGAGTAAATGTTGTTTTGGGTAGGGATGGATCTTTCCAGCACCTCACTTAATTCATTAATCTGATATTTATTATAGGTACACTATAAAGCCGTGACAGCATCTTACTTCAGCTGGCCTCCGTAGTCCCCCTTTTACCCGGAATGGTGCTGACATATGGAATAATGGTCTATGTGTCATCATCAGGTTTTTGGAAAAAGTTCAATACCGTGTTTTGTTCTTTATTGCTTTTAGGTTGTATCTATTAATTCTCTCTTTATCTATTATTAGAGGAAAAATAGACACTAAGTGCTTTGAACAGTTCACGCACAAGAGGAATACTTATCCTTGATAATTACTATTTGAGGAGCAAATATATGTTTTATCTGTTCTTTAAATGGTTGTTCTGATTCTGTTTTCAATGGAGTGAATTTCTGAAGATCTTTGATAACACAAATCGAAAGCACAATGTCACATCCCCTTGGTGTCCTCAGATCACACTCAAGAAGCCAGTGTTCCCCAGCGCAAAGTAACTTCCTTCTACCAAAGCTCATTGATATGAGTAAGAAAAATTGCCAGCACTGATTGCTTCTCTAATTTGTTCCAAACTGAAAAACTTGTTTATATTTTCCCACACATGTAAAACATCGTTTGTATTTTAATATTCATTAAATTTCAACAAATTTCTTGAAATCACACCTTTAATCAGTGAGGTCTTGTCTGAATTTTTGGTGACATTTCTCTTTTTTCAGTTCCTCCCAAGTTTGTGGTTCAGCCACGGGACCAGGACGGGATTTACGGCAAGGCTGTCATCCTCAACTGCTCTGCTGAGGGTTATCCTGTACCCACCATTGTGTGGAAATTCTCTAAAGGTATGAAGTTACTTGATCTTCTTGTTACCAGCCAAACAGACATTATGTTAAAGGGTTGGGTGAGCATTTCTAGTCTTTCCAGACATATTCCTTGCAAGTAGGTAGGTCATCCCCGTCTACACCAGCTCTGTCCTTATTCACAGACACCCCTGGTCATCCACCTAAATGTTTCTACTCAGACCATGCAAGAGTCTGTTTTGGTCTAACAGGCCTTTGCAAAGACCATGAAGGGGAGGCAGGTGATTCATGTGGGTTATTTTAGCACCTGGGAATGCACCACCTTGCCCAATTATATTGGATAACTATGGTTTGCAGAAAGACCACTGCAAACCTGTACATGTGGAGATATAAGTGTGAATTGACACAGATACTCATAGTTGGAAAGTTATTTCCACAGTATTTATATATGTGAGAGTAAGTGGGTTTAAAAAGTTAAAAAATAAAATTGTTGATTTTTAAAATTTACCTAGTTATCTTAGAATATACACAAAGTACATATTATCTCCTTGGTATGCTCTTTTTATAAAGAGTCAAACATATCCTATGTCCTATTATGCATGTTCAATGTTCCCGGCTTCCTCTTAGAACATGGAGCAGCGTTTCCTGGTTTTCAGGTAACACTGTAAACAGTACATAAGTAGAAATGTGTCACATGGAAATTAATGGTGGAGTCATTTTAGACACTGGAAAAATAATTTATGTTCATCATATTGTGTTCTTCAGAAAGGTTCCTTAACTGTGCTTGTGAACGTTTTGGAAGTTCTCTTTCTTTTCTTATTCAGGCATTTGAATTCCATAATTTATCAAACAGTCGAGGGCCAATACACACTGGTGGGCTCAGTGAATCAGTCAATCATGATCATGTTTTCTAACAACCTAAGACCTACTATATGGGTTTAATTGTTATGGGTGTATTTGTTTCTTTGTTTTCTTAATCATGGTTCTTATTCTGGACGTTTCTTTTTAAAATAACATGTTGCGTTTTCTTATTATGAACACAACAATCCAAGGAAAAGCAAAGGGTGCATTTGCCACAACCCTCCTGATGTATATCCTTCAAAGGAGAAGAGAAGAGGGAGGGAGGGAACATGGGGCTAGACACTGTGTGATTGGGAGAGCAAAAAAATGAAATTTTTAAAAAATCCCCTAGACAGCTCTCCTGTAGCACACCGCATACAACGTCCACGCGAAAAGCACTTTGTTCAAAACTAAAAATCTATTATTCAGGGTAGCTGCCCTTGTGACTTTATTTTAGGCAATGTTTGAAGCCTCATATTGCATTATGACATAGAAACAGGTAAACAGCATAAATTATTAGTTTATATCGGTGTGCATATTTGATATTATGAACATTTTTTGTGAAACTTATCTTATTCAAAGTTATTTTTAATGCCTGCCATTACGTCGAAGTCCCCTGTATCTCCCTTAGGTTGTTTCCAGTTGTTCACTACTGTAAACACTGCAGCAGTGAACGTCCTTGCCTGTTAACTTGATGTGCACATGTGTAACTGCTCTCTTGAGGGAAATTTCTAGAAGTAAAGTAGCAGGACCATGTGTACAGCTCTTGGTCTGTACTGGTCAAGAGTCCTTTGGCCCCAGCACAGAGAGTGTGTGTGTGTGTTGCTCCCTGCTCACCAACTCAATAGAACCTTTTTCTTTGTCTTTAATTTTTAACATCTGATGGGTGAAAATGCCTTTCCATTTTAATTTGCATATTTAGATTATTAGTGATGTTTAAAATGAATTATCCTGTGTTTACTGACATTTCTATTCTCCTTTTGGGAATTTCTTATTCATGTTACTTGCATACTTACCTTCATCTCCTCTTTATTGGCAACAGTGTTTTACATAGATTGAATAACTC